TTTAATTTTTTTACTATTTTAAAATATATGTAAATATCAATTAAAATTATGAAAAAAGTTTTTATTTACAAGAATTTTAAAATACTAGAAGAAAAAAATATTCTAAACCTTTGTTGTTTTAATAAAATTTTATTTAATAAAAAATTAAAATAACTTATTTTAAAGCAACAATTAAATTTTTTTTTCTTGTAATACTTGATTGAAATAATATGTCTTTAAATGTTTTTTTCTCTTAATTTTTTTTAATTTTTTTTAACAAATACTAATCTCTTAAAATTAATAAAAATTATATAAAATATTAATAATTAAAGTTAATTAAGAATTGTGTTGCGTAAAGAGAACAAAGTTAAGATGAAAATGTTGCGAATTTATTGGAATATATGACTTTTATTAATACTAAGGTCAAGTCAAAAGGTTAGGACAACACCAGGTCCTAGAGAGCTGACGTGGCAAATCTTGATTGGATGGTGAACGTGTTCAGCTCTTTCGTTTTGAAATGACCAAATTACCCCATCGTCCCACGAACTTCGAATAAAACCGTTGGGAGTGTGGAGGGAGAAAGCAGAGAGAAAACGTGAAATGAAAGATTTTGGGAACTGATTCCCACCCAAGAAGAAGAAGATGTTGCAATGGTTGAAGCAGCTCAAAACTGCATTTGGGGTGGCGTTTCTGTGGCTCATTTGCTTGATTTACTTCACTCAGGTTCCCCTTCTCCTCTTTATCTTTCAAACCTGAATCTATACGTGCATCTATCATGTATGAATATTTATGTTTAATTTCTGCTTCGAGATATGTTTGGAAACGTTAGAATTATGTAACTTTGGGTTTCTGGGTTTGTGGGGGTTTTTGATCTTTCACGGTTTTAGTGGGAAAGGCGTTGCCTTTTGACGATTTGGGTTGATAGAAGCTGTTGCTTTGGATGATTTGGTTTTGATGATTTTAAAGTATTAATATTACATTACATGGCGTATTGGATGAATTATATATGAGATGAGGTTTAATTTATTCTTGATATCAACTGTGGGAATACTGAAATTCTCTGACTTTAGAACAGAATAGGGTGCATCATGATATGCATGTTTGATTAAGTTGCTAATATGTCTCTTTTCTTGATGTTTGAGATTGTTAATGCCTTTTAATAGGTGGGCTTTTTTTAAAATTGAAGGTATCAGGTTTTGAACATGACAAGATGCCGAGGTTAATTTTCTTAGATCATTTTATCTCAGCAGGAAGAATGTTTTCTTACATGCTTGAAAAAAAATATGCAATAAATTTTTTTGTCTTGAATCTTGAGATTTTGGAAATGTTAAGGTGATGGTGTGCTGTAGTTTTCACTCATCATTCTTCACAAATAAGGCAGCCGACTTATTTGTAACGCAAACTCAAATTATCACTCCAGTTGTTCCCTTTGGCTGGCCTCACATTCTTCTTCTCAATTAGTTTCAAACATTAAGCCTTGGCATTATCGGAAGGATGTTTGCCTTTGTTGTAGAAATTTTCTAAGTTTTCTACTCAGGATTGATCTTATAAGTACATTAAGAGTTTATCAATATTACATCATTTACCAAAAGTTCCTTTACTGTTATTGGTTGGAACCTTTTAAAATATCTGGATTAGCCCAGGAAAGAGTATAAAAGAACATTTCCTAGTATAGCTTTTTGAAAACAATGTTCTGTTCTTTTCTTTTTACTCACTTTGCAAACTGAATTTTGGAAAATGATAGGATTGTTCTTTGGTAGATGATATCTATTAGAGAAAAACAATCTTCTAAAAATGTCAATGCTCTATCTGCTCTTGTGAATAGAAAACTATTTCCCCAAAGTTGAACAAGCATTTTCTTTGTTTCTATTTACCGTACAATACATTTTGGGCATGGCTAACTAGGTATGATATTCTTGTTTTCCTATATGGCATTATCTGTTTCAATGTGCTTTTACCAGCTTATTTTGATATTCTAAGTAGTCTACTTTCTTGATATTTGTTTGTAGGGTTTCAGATCCTTTGTCTGGACAGCAGTTTCATACCAGCTGAAGGATAGACTTGAATTGTCTCCATCAGCCTCTCAGTTTATATCTTCAGTAGCATTTTTCCCATGGAGCATAAAACCTCTATATGGGTAAGCATTTTTATTATGTCCATGCTCACAAGAACATGCTTGGGTGGTAAATCTGCTCATTGAGAAAATGAAGAAATCAACTTCTACACAAAAGTTTTAACTAGATTAATATGACGATAAGAAAATGCTGTCTTCTCATTTGTATATTTCAATAATGATATGTGTCTTAGACAAAGAATGTCCAGGACTTTTATACTTCATGAATATTTTGATGCCCCTTTAGTTGGTTGGTATTGCCCTTTACTCTTTAGTTGGTTGGTATTGCCCTTTACTGTTAGATGAGTATGCAACCTTCCATTCTTGTTACACCTTTTCTAAATCGCTTATTTGCCCCAAAATTTTCCTTTGTGTGTGTAGGATTTTGTCTGATTGTATCCCAATTAAAGGGAGGAAAAGGATTCCATACTTGGTGATTTCAACTGTGATGTCTCTTGTGCCATGGCTTATGCTAGGCTTAAATGCAACCACAAGGAGTACCATATGGCACCTCACCATCTTACTGACACTGCAAAACCTGGGTTCAGCCATGGCAGATGTTGTGGTTGATGCAATGATTGCTGAGGCAACAAGATTTGAGCGGTATGTCCAATTGTTTAGTTCATTTCCCTTTCCACAGAAGGATTTAGTACACAACGTGCTAGCTTATTTTGCTGATAACCACAAGCGCATTGAAGTGGACCTTGCTAATAAATTTATTTTAATTGCTCAACCCTGGGAAGGAACGATCATGATGGTTGCTAGTTGGCTAAATAGAAGACTTCCTTACTAAATCTGCTATGTTGTAATTGTCTTCATCACCCTTCCAGAACAGTGGTTTTATCTTTTATTTGTATCTACTGTTGATATGGGTGGTCAAATTTCTGACATGCTGCTCTTCTAAGTTTGCTACATCCAATTGATTATGCCATTTTTTTTTTTTTTATTTTATTTTTGAATGTTTCAAAGAGCATGACTCAAGAGATTGGAACTACTTTTGATCAGGGCATCATTTGCTGGAGATCTACAGTCAACATCTTGGTTAGCTATGGCTCTTGGTGGAATATGTGGAAGTTTGCTAGGAGGATATGCATTAACCAACTTAGAGATAGACAGAATTTTTCTTCTTTTTACCTTACTTCCAGTCATACAGTTGTTATCATGTGGCTTGGTTGAAGATCATTCTCTAGGCAGCACATCTTCTTTGCCTTGTTTTCCTAATTCCAGTGACTTGCATCTAATGAATGGCAAAAGTGCTAATGTGGATGAAGATAGTCTCCTAGCAAAGAAATCCAACGTTACTACTTTGAGAAGAAAGAGGAGCCTGAAGAAAAGCGAAAGGAGTGTGGTGGTAAGTGGTAAACCTGAGATTCCTGAGAAAGAAAAGCCCTTGGCTTTGCAATGGTTCCAGTCTCTGAAAATGGCCACTTATAGTCTCTGCCGTGCTTTCAGACAGCCAATCATTTTGAGGTAAGCTAACAGAGTGGCAACTTAAGCTGCAAAAGGATGCTGCTTTGCCTTTCTAAAGCATCTCATGGGACAATTTTCATCTCTCATGTAGATAATAATTAATCATTTATTGTAGCCTGTGTGAGCTTTTGGTTTATATTTAGAGTGCAACTACACTTTAAATACACCTAGATATTATTAGCAATATTTTGACCATATGTTATCATATATTGGTTTGGCATACTATCATATTTTCACTACCTTTTATTGTATACTTCCCTTATCCTTCTAATCATGGTTACTTTTGTTCTTATTTGTTCATGGGAAGATCAGACCTATGGCTTGGTTTTTCATGGCAAATGTCACTGTTCCAAACCTTTCTACTGCCATGTTCTATTACCAGACAGAGTTCTTGAACTTGGAAGCCTCTTTCTTGGGAACAGCAGGTGTTATTGGATGGTTAGGCCTCATGCTTGGAACCTTCATCTACAATCAGCATTTAAAGGCCATAAAGTTACGAAGAATTCTAATGTAAGTGCTTAATATTCAGTAAATAATTTATTTTAATAGTCTTTTTCTTTTCTTAAGATAAGTTGCATGCACTGCTCCTGATCTTCAAACACAATGCAGGATTTCTCAAATTGGTTTGGCTATCTCAAGTCTCTTAGATATCGTTTTAGTGTCTAGAAGTAATGTTGCCTTCAGAATATCAGATAAGACTATGGTGCTATTTGGATCTGCGCTTTCTGATGCCATCAATCAATTCAAGTATGTTTCACTTCTTGTAATGTCATATATCCCTACACTCCAACTCATGATTGCATGCATCAACTTTCTAACATAAGTTCAAAACAGTTTCAGACTTTCAGTCACCATATTAATGAACTTCATTCTCATACTGTCATGCCTTGTGCTCCAGGTTCATGCCATTCCTGATCTTATCTGGACAGTTATGCCCACCAGGAATTGAGGGAACTCTATTCGCCCTCTTTATGTCAATAAACAACTTTGGATCCACCATAGGATCATTTGTAGGCGGTTGGTTAGCCTCCTTTTTGAACATCTCTTCAGGATCATTTGACAACCTCCTATTAGGCATTGCTGTTCGAGTGTTCTGCACTTTCATCCCAGTTGCACTCCTATTTTTAATACCCAAGGATGCCACTGGATTTGCAGCAGCGTAGCCATCCATCAACTTCTGCAAACACATACTATAGAACAGCTCTGCTAGACCCTGCAACTGAGCTCTGGATGAAAATTCTTCCATTAAAGCATCAAACCAGCTGAAAATCAATTAGAGAAACACATAATCGCAGAAACCAGCTAGAAGCTTTTCCTTTAGCATACTACTCATCATAGCATGTAAAAACAATATACAGTGTTTTTTTTTTTTCAAATGGCCAAACAAGGATGATATAGGTTAGTGTATACAGATTAATCTGATGTTTGCAATATCTTTGTAAAAACAGAAAGATCAATTATGATGGAAGAATGTTTTTGTTGGCTTCCGTCTTGGATTAAGAAGAGGGTGTTGTTAATCCAACGAGGAAAAATACTTTTTCTTTGAACTTCACTGCACAAGAATATTGGTTTTTTTTCTTTTCTTTTCCTTTTTCTTTTTTTCTAAAAACAAAAAGGCATAAGGTGCATATTGCATCTCTATATTTTTTAGTTCGAGTAAATTAGCACATAAAAAAAAAAGTTAAAAGTAAATTGTCATATCAAATTTTCATTTTAAAGTATTCTGTTCATAAAAAAAAAACAGTTAAAAGTAAATTATCATATCAAATTTTCATTTTAAATCTAACAATAATTATTAAATATAAATTAATTTCTTTAAAATAAAATTTTAATATAACAATTTACTTCAATATATTTTTCTCATGAGCTAATTTATTTTAACTTTAAAATAGTGAGGGGAAAATTTGCACTTGGCCCAAAAAGAAGTGTTTTTTTAATATACATTTATGAAAATTGTTTTATAAGTGGATTATATACAGTTTTCATATGTAAAATTAATTAAATATTTTTAACAAATAATATAAAATTAAAATTAAAAATATTTAAATAATTTTATAAAAAGATATAATCCATTATGTAAAA